CCAGGTACGGCCCCCCCGGGACCCCCCCGGGCTCACAGCGGGGTTTGGGGTGCCACGGGATCGTGGTGCCAGCAGGACACCCCGAGGCTGTGGGGTCACAGGGGGTTTTGGGGTCCCCTGAGGTTCTGCCCCTTCCAGGACCCCTCAGGGGCACAGTGAGGGGGTTTTGGGGTCCCTGGGGATCCAGATCCTCCCCAGGACTCCTCAAACAGTGGGGTCTGAGGGGGTTTTGGGATCTCACAGGGATCCTGCCCCTCTCCATCACCCCCGGAGGCAGTGGGGTAGGGTTTGGGGGGCTCCCAAGGGTTTTTGGGGTGCCCCAGCAGCCCAGATCCTCTCCACCACCCCCTGAGGCAGTGGGGTGGGGTTTGGGGGGCTCCCAGGGGATTTTGGGGTCTCTCATGGGTCCACCACCCCCTGAGGCAGTGGGGTGAGGTTTGGGGGCTCCCAGGAGGTTTTGGGGTGCCCCCTCAGCCCTGTCCCCTCAGTACATGCCCTACCTGGTCCTGGACATCTTCGGGAGCACGCCGGGGGTGCCGGGGCTGTTCCTGGCCTGCGCCTACAGCGGCACGCTCAGGTGAGGAGGGGTCCCGGCCTGGGGACACGGGCAGGGGGTGCCACCCCCCTGGTGTCCCCACGGGGCTGACGGGGTCACCTCGTGCCCAGCACGGCCTCCACGTCCATCAACGCCATGGCTGCCGTCACCGTGGAGGACCTGGTGCGGCCGCGGCTGCCGGCACTGTCCCCCAGGAGGCTGACGCTCATCTCCAAGGGACTCTGTGAGTGCCACCGGCCCGGGGACACCGCGGGGGACACGGGTGGGTCACCCCGCAGGGTCACCGCGCCTGGGGGGACACGGATGGGTCACCTCCATGGGGATGGGTCACCCCGCAGGGTCACCCCACGGGGACACGGATGGGTCACCCCTGCCCGGGATGGGTCACCCCAATTTGGGATGTGCCAGGCTGTGCCATGCCATTGCACCCTATGGATGCCATCTCAATCCCATCCCATCAATCCCATCACATCCATCCCATCCCATCCCATAAATCCCATCCATCCCATTCCCTAAATCCCAACCCTATCCTATAAATCCTATCCCATCCCATTCCACCCCATCAATCCCATCAATCCCATCCCATCCCATCCCATAAATCCCATCCCATCCCACCAATCCCATCCCATAAATCCCAATCCCATCCCATCCCATAAATCCCATAAATCCCAATCCCATCCCATCCCATAAATCCCATCAATCCCACCAATCCCATCCCATCCCATAAATCCCATCCCATCCCACCAATCCCATCCCATAAATCCCAATCCCATGCCATCCCATAAATCCCAATCCCATGCCATCCCATCAATGCCATCAATCCCACCCCATCCCATATTCCCACAGCTCTCACCTTCGGCACCTCCTGCATCACCGTGGCCGCTCTGTCCTCGCTGCTGGGGGGGGGTGTCCTGCAGGTGAGAGCCCCCCCAGACCCCAAATCCCCTCCCTCTGCTTCTACCGCCCCCAAAATCCCAAAACACCCCAAACCCCCCCAAAAAACCCCCACGCTGTCAGTGCCCACTCGAGTGGGGACACCGCGGGGACACGGCCACGCTCTGGTGGCACCCAGAGAGCCGTTGAGGGTGAAGGGCTTGGGGCAGTGCCAGGCCCCCCTGGAGCTCTCCCAGACCCCAAAAAATTCCCAAAAAACCCCCCAAAAAACCCAACCCCCCGCTGTCTGTGCCCATCCAAGCGGTGACAGTGCAGGGACACCGCGGGGACACAGTGGGGACACAGCCACGCTCTGGTGGCACCCGGAGAGCCCTCGAGGAGGGGGGTTTGGGCAGTGCCAGGGCCCCCTGGAGCTATCCCAGACCCCAAAAAAACCCCCAAAAAACCCCATCCCTGTCCCTGTCGCAGGCGGTGCTGGGTGGCCTGGCCGTGGGCCTGGCTCTGTCCCTGTGGGTGGCCGTGGGTGCCACCCTGTACCCGCCCAGCGCGGCCACCATGGGGGTGCTGCCCACCTGGGGGACGCTGTGCCCGCCCCGCAATGTCACCAACGCCACCAGCGCCACCAGCGGCCCCGCCCTGCCCGCGCCACCCCCGGAGCCGCTGCGGTGAGCGGGGCTGGGGACAGCGCGGGCGTGTCCCCTGGGCTGGCACCTCCCTGTCCCTGTCCCTGTCCCCTTGTGTGGCACACCTCTGTCCCTGTCCCTGTCCCTGTCCCTGTGCCCTTGTGTGGCACACCTCTCTCCCTGTCCCTGTCCCCTGGGGTGGCATGTCCCTGTCCCTGCTGGCGCTGATGTCACGTCCCTTTTCCTGCCGGCTGTGATGTCACACCACTGTCCCCATTCCCTGTGACGTCACGTCCCTTTTCCTGCCGGCTGTGATGTCACACCACTGTCCCCATTCCCTGTGACGTCACACCCCTGTCCCTGCCGGCTGTGATGTCACATCACCGCCCCTGCCTGTTGTGACATCGCAGCAATGTCCCTGTCCCTGACGATGTCACACTGCTTCCCTTGTCCCTTGTGACGTCACACCCCTGTCCTTGTTCCTTGTGACGTCACACCCCTGTCCCTGTTCCCTGTGACATCACACCCCTGTCCCTGCTGGCTGTGACGTCACAGCCCTGTCCCTGTTCCCTGTGACGGCACCGGGTGTCCCTGAGGGCAGTGATGTCACCCCGCTGTCCCCTGTCACAGCCCGGCCATCCTGGGTGACTTCTACTCCGTGTCCTACCTGTACTACGGCGCCCTGGGGACACTGGGGACCGTGGGGACAGGGGCCCTGCTCAGCCTGCTGCCAGGTGAGGGGGGATGGCCCTGTCACCCCCTGTGCCACCCCCTGTGCCACCCTGTCCCCCTTCTCTGTGACCTCATTCCTGTCACTCCCTGTCACTGTGTCCCCTCCCGGCAGGGCCAGCCCGGCAGAGCCGCTGTCCCCAGGGTGTGCTGTGGTGGGACATCGTCAGGGCCACGCCCTCGGGTGTCCCCAAGGGTGACAGCACCCCCGGGGACGAGGACAAGGACAAGGACAAGGACAAGGACGAGGACAAGGCCGCGGTGACCCAGGCGCTGCTGGAGAGGCCGGACGGGGAGGGGACACCCCCGAGTGACCCCCCCAGGGGTGGCACTGTCACCGAGAGCGATGTGTAGGGGACAGCGGGGTGGGGACACGGGGACAGCGGGGTGGGGACACAGGGACAGTGTGGGGACACGGTGCTGGCCCCAATAAAGGAGCTGCTGATCCTGGACAGAGCCTGTCCTTGGGGGGACAGGGAGGGGACAGGGAGGGGACACGGCCGCTGTCCCTCAGGTGACACTGCTGGAATGGTGGGGGGGGTCACAGGTGTGGGGGGGATTTGGGAATCAAGAGCTGCCCTGGTGAGCCACGCCCACCAGGGGAAAATGGGCACACCCTGCCAAGCTCCGCCCACCACGAGGACAATGGCCACACCCTGCCAAGCTCCGCCCACCATGGGGACAATGGCCGCACCCTGATAAGCCCCGCCCCCAAGGTGACAATCCCGACTCCTGCAGGTGACAAAGGGCCCCTCCCCTCTAAGCCACGCCCACCTATCTGACAGCGACCCCGCCCTTTTAAGCCCCGCCCACCCCTCAGGAGGCACTCAGGGCGCCGCCATCTTTGAACCGGGCACAGCCTCCGCCGCCGGCGGGCGTTGCGCGAATTCCCTGCGGATTTTTTCCACCGCGCCGCCCTGAGCGTGACTCTCCGCCCGTCCCGCCGCTCTCTCCGCTCCTTCCGCTCCCTCCGCCGCCTCTCCCGCAAAGAAACAGAAAAGCAGTCCCCGGCCGTGCCCTCAACAAACATGGCGGCGGCGCGCCCTGCCCGCCCCTTCCATGGGGGGGGTGACGGCGCGCGGTGATGACGCACAAAGCGCGCGACAGCCGGGGCGGCGGGGCCCGGTAGGAGCGGGGCCGGTTCGGGGCCGGGCGGGGCGGAGGGACCGGGCCGGGAGCGAAGGGAAGGGACGGCACCGGGGGCAGCGGGGACACCGCGGGGTGGCGGGGAGGGGAGGCCGGGGGGGCCGGGACAGACCCGGGGGTCTCTTTTTGCCGGCCCTCAGGTGAGGCCCTGCCCCGGTGCCGCTCCTGGGCAGGCTCGGGGGGGCGGGAGAAGGGATTTTAGGGAGGGTGAAAATGCAGGAGAAAAGATTTTAGGATGGCTCCGAGGATGTTCCAGGCGGGAGAAAGGGTTGAGTCCATCCCAGGCAGGGCAAAGCTTGGGAATGGAGCAGCCCGTTTGTTTTTAATCGAATTTAATTCGTAATTATCGACGATTAAAATCAAAGATTCTGCCCCAGAGCTCCCAAAGCTGCGATTTCCCCCGTGTTTGGTTGATTTGAAAGCTCCCTTTTCCCTTGGATTTGACTTTTCCCACCCTGGATAACAATCCCAGCCCGTTTTGGGGCTGGTTATCCAAATTAAAGGAGTTTCTCCCCTCCCTCGGGAGGGGACAGAGGCGCCTCAATCCCGTTTTTTCCTGGCTCGGGTTTTTTTTTTGGATTTCCAGGTGCTTTTTCCATGGGCTGAGAGGCTGGAGTTTGGCCAGGAGGGAGCAGATTTGGGATCAGCCACGATCTGGAGGAAATCTGGGAAATTTATCCCGATTTGGGGTTGGGATAAATCTGGGATAAATCAGGGGGACGATCCCAGTTTTTAACTCGGTTTTGGGGACTTTTCCCCTCTCCAAATCCCCAAAATCTGGGGAGGGGCTGGAGGATTTTTGGGAAGGGAATGGAGAATTTCTAGGAAGAAGCTGGAGAATTTTTGGGAAGGGGGTGGAGAATTCCTGAGGGAAATTTGGAAGAGAATGGAGAATTTTTGGGAAGAGGCTGGAGGATTTTTGGGAAGGGACTGGAGGATTTTTGGGAAAAGGTTGGAAGATTTTTGGGAAGGGCATGGAGAATTCCTGAGGGAAACTGGAAAGAAGATGGAGAATTTCTGGGAAATGGCTGGAGAATTTTTGGGAAGAGGCTGGAGAATTTTTGGGAAGGGACTGGAGGATTTTGGGAAGAGGCTGCAGAATTCCTGAGGGAAACTGTGAAGGGGCTGGAGAATTTCTGGGAAATGGCTGGAGAATTTTTGGGAAGGGGGTGGAGAATTCCTGAGGGAAACTGGGAAGAGAATGGAGAATTTTTGGGAAGAGGCTGGAGGATTTTTGGGAAGGGACTGGAGGATTTTGGGAAGAGGCTGCAGAATTCCTGAGGGAAACTGTGAAGGGGCTGGAGAATTTCTGGGAAATGGCTGGAGAATTTTTGGGAAGGGGGTGGAGAATTCCTGAGGGAAACTGGGAAGAGAATGGAGAATTTTTGGGAAGAGGCTGGAGGATTTTTGGGAAGGGCATGGAGAATTCCTGAGGGAAACTGGAAAGAAGATGGAGAATTTCTGGGAAATGGCTGGAGAATTTTTGGGAAGAGGTCGGAGAATTTTTGGGAAGTGGCTGGAGAATTTTTGGGAAATGGCTGGAGAATTTTTGGGAAGGGGCTGGAGAATTTTTGGCAGGAGTCTGGAGAATCCTGAGGGAAACTGGGGAAGGAAACCTCGGGAACTTTTAACCCCAATCCCCGCAAATTCCCGAGCGTGCAAACTCCCAGCTCCGCCTGCCTGACCTCCAACCTCAACCCCAACTTACCCCGTGACAAACCCCCCGAAAAACCGACCCCAAGTCCCTACAGAACCCCGATTTCTCCCGGTTTCCCAGAGGGTTTGAGGGATGCCCAAGAAATTCCAGGGGGAGAACAGCAAGTCGGCGGCGGCGCGCGCCCGCAGGGCCGAGGCCAAGGCGGCGGCGGAGGCGCGGCGGCAGCAGGAGCTGGAGGATGAGCTCTGGAAGGACGAGGACAAACACGTCCTGAGGAAGGAGCAGAGGAAGGTGGGGATCCCAAATCCTGGGAGAAGGGAGAGGGGGAAGGTTTGGGATGAGGAGAGGGGAAAGTCTGGGGATGAGGAGAGGGGAAAGTCTGGGAATCAAAAGAGGGGAAAGTTTGGGAGTGGGGAGGAACCAGGTGAGGGAGAGGAGGGAAAATTCTGGGAATGAGAGAAGGAAGAGCCCTGGGAATGAGAGGAAAAACAGTCCTGGGAATGAGGGAGAGGAGGAAAAACTCTGGGATTGAGAGAGAGGAGGGAAAAGCTTCAGAATGAGGGTGAGGAGGAGGAAGGCTGGGAATGGCGGAGGCGCGGCGGCAGCAGGAGCTGGAGGATGAGCTCTGGAAGGACGAGGACAAACACGTCCTGAGGAAGGAGCAGAGGAAGGTGGGGATCCCAAATCCTGGGAGCAGGGAGGAGGTTCCTGGGGCAGGTGTGACCCCTGTGGATCCGTGTGCCAATCCCAGGAGGAGCGGGAGAAGAAGTGCCTGGAGCAGCTGGAGCTGATCCATCCATGGATCCACCCATTGATCCATCCGTGGGTCCTTCCATGGATCCTTCCATGAATCCATCCATGGATCCATCTGTTGATCCATCCATGGATCCATCTATTGATTCATCCATGGATTCATCCATGAATCAATCCTTGGATCCATTCATGGATCCATCCATCCATGGATCCTTCCGTGGGTCCATCCATGGATCCTTCCGTGGGTCCATCCATGGATCCTTCCATGAATCCATCCATGGATCCATCACTCCCGAGGTGCCGTCCCAGGGAATTCCCATCTTCCTGGGATGGGTGTGACCCCCCTGGGGTGACAGATCCGTGTGCCATTCCCAGGAGGAGCGGGAGAAGCGGCGCCTGGAGCAGCTGGAGCTGATCCATGGGTTCATCCATGAATCCTTCCATGAATCCATCCATGAATCCATGGATTCATTAATTAATCCTTCCATGGATCCTTCCATGGGTCCATCCATGGATCATGGGTCCATCTATGAATCCATCCATGAATCCATGGATTCATTAATTAATCCTTCCATGGATCCTTCCATGGGTCCATCCATGGATCATGGGTCCATCTATGAATCCATCCATGAATCCATGGATTCATTCATGAGTCCTTCCATGAATCCATCTGTGGATCCATCCCTGAATCCATCCATGGATCCATCACTCCCGAGGTGCCACCCCAGGGAATTCCCATCTTCCTGGGATGGGTGTGACCCCCCTGGGGTGACAGATCCGTGTGCCATTCCCAGGAGGAGCGGGAGAAGCAGCGCCTGGAGCAGCTGGAGCTGCTCCATCCATGGATCCATCCATGGGTTCATCCATTAATCCTTCCATGAATCCATCCATGGGTCCATCCATGAATCCATCCATGGATCCATGGATTCATTAATTAATCCTTCCATGGATCCTTCCATGGATCCATCCATGAATCCTTCCATGAATCCATCCATGGGTCCATGGATTCATCCATGAATCCATCCATGGATCCATGGATTCATTAATTAATCCTTCCATGGATCCTTCCATGAATCCATCCCTTGATCCATCTATGGATCCATCTATCCATGAATCCATCTGTGGGTCCATTAATGAATTCTTCCATGGATCCTTCCATGAATCCATCCGTGGGTCCATCCTTGAATCCATCCATGGATCCATGGATTCATTAATGAATCCTTCCATGGATCCATCCATGGATCCATCACTCCCGAGGTGCCACCCCAGGGAATTCCCATCTTCCTGGGGTGGGTGTGACCCCCCTGGGGTGACAGATCCGTGTGCCATTCCCAGGAGGAGCGGGAGAAGCGGCGCCTGGAGCAGCTGGAGCTGATCCATGGGTTCATCCATGAATCCTTCCATGAATCCATCCATGAATCCATGGATTCATTAATTAATCCTTCCATGGATCCTTCCATGGGTCCATCCATGGATCATGGGTCCATCTATGAATCCATCCATGAATCCATGGATTCATTCATGAGTCCTTCCATGAATCCATCTGTGGATCCATCCCTGAATCCATCCATGGATCCATCACTCCCGAGGTGCCACCCCAGGGAATTCCCATCTTCCTGGGGTGGGTGTGACCCCCCTGGGGTGACAGATCCGTGTGCCATTCCCAGGAGGAGCGGGAGAAGCGGCGCCTGGAGCAGCTGGAGCGCCGCAAGGAGCTGCAGCGGCTGCTGGAGGAGGAGGACTCCAAGCTCAAAGGGAAAACTCCCAAGCAGGGAAATCCTGGGAAAATCACCCGGGCCCAGATCGAGGAGAACGTCCGCAAGGAGCAGAGGGAAAACACGGATGCAGGTTTGGGAATTCCCTGGGAATTCTGGGCTGGGGAGCTGCTCCAGGAGACACCTTGGGAATGGCTGAGGGTGGTTTGGGATTCCCATTCCCTGGAATTGTCCCCAAAAATCCTGGATGTGGCGCTTTGGGGATGGGGTGTGGTGTTGGGTTTGATCCCAAAGCTCTTTCTGGATGTGGAATTCCCTAAAATTCTGTGATTTATACTCCTGGGCTTCTTGTTTTTCTGTATCCATGTCTTTCCCATTCCCACATTTCCCATTCCCATTCCCACATTTCCCATTCCAACATTTCCCATTCCCAATCCCACATTTCCATTCCCATTCCCACATTTCCCATTCCCACATTTCCATTCCCATTCCCACATTTCCCAGTCCCTCACTTCCCTTTACAGAGGAAAAATATTTTCTTTTTTTAAGGAAAAAAATGAGTTTTCCAAGGAAACAATTTGACTTTTCCGGAGGAAAAATTGGAGTTTTTTTAGAGGGGAAAATTCCAGATGAAAAACGAAGATTTTTAGAGGAAAAATTAACATTTTTAGAGGGGAAAATTTCCCGGGGAGTGGTTTTAAGGGAAAACCCGAGTTTTCCAGAGGGACAATCGGTTTTTCCCGAGGGAATCCCTCAGCATTCCCGGTTTTCCCGGCAGTGGAGAAGGAGAAATCGCACCTGGAGCTGCCGCTGGAGGAGAACCTGAACCGGCGGCTGCCTGAGGAGGGCGCTGTGGAGGCGCGCAGCATCGAGGACGCCATCGCCGCCCTCAGGTGCGCCCCGACCCCAAAATCCCCCCCAAATCCCCCCAAAATCCCCCAGGGATGGTCCCTGAAACTTCCCCGGGGGTTGGGATCCCGGCGGGAATCCGGGATTTGGGGTGGCAGGGATGGGGGTGCTGTGGGATTGGGGGATCTGGAACACGTGGGGCCGTTTCCTTTGGGGCTGGGGCTGTCCCTGGTGCCATTCCCTTTGGGACCGTGTCCCTCCGTGTCCCCTCCTGACCGTGTCCCTCCGTGTCCCCGGTCTCTCACAGCGTGCCCGTCCCTGTCCCCTGGGGGCTGTGTCACTCCCTGTCCCCCCCAACGTGCCCGCCCCTGTCCCCACTCCCTCGTGACCGTGTCCCTCCATGTCTCTGTTCCCCCGTGACCGTGTCCCCTCTGTCCCCAGCATGTCCCTGTCCCCCCGTGACCATGTCCCATCCCCCTGTGACCGTGTCCCCTCTGTCCCCAGCGTGTCCCATCCCCCCATGAACATGTCCCTCCTTGCCCCAGCGTGTCCCATCCCTGTCCCCCCACAACCGTGACCATGTCCCCGTTGTCCCCAGCGTCCCTGTCCCTCTGTGTCCCTGTCCCCCCGTGACTGTGACTTTGTCCCCTCTGTCCCCAGCGTGTCCCATCCCTCTGTGACTTTGTCCCCTCTGTCCCCAACGTGTCTCATCCCTGTCCCCCTGTAACTATGACTGTGTCCCCTGTGTCCCCAGCGTGTCCCTTTCCCCTGTGACCATGTCCCCTGTGTCCCCAGCGTGTCCCTTCCCCCTGTGACCGTGTCCCCACTGTGCCCAGTGTGTCCCATCCCTGCCCTGCCACAACCATGACCATGTCCCTGCTGTCCCCAGCATGTCCCATCCCTGTCCCCCCGTAACGATGACCGTGTCCCCAGCGTGTCCCAGCCCCCTGTGACCGTGTCCCCTGTGTCCCCAGCGTGTCCCACCCCGCTGTGACCGTGTCCCCTGTGTCCCCAGCGTGTCCCATCCCCCTGTGACCGTGTCCCCCGTGTCCTCACCATGTCCCATCCCCGTGTGACCGTGTCCCCTGGGGCTGTCCCTGGTGCCATTCCCTTTGGGATCGTGTCCCTCCGTGTCCCCGGTCTCTCACAGCGTGCCCGTCCCTGTCCCCTGGGGGCTGTGTCACTCCCTGTCCCCCCCAACGTGCCCGCCCCTGTCCCCACTCCCTCGTGACCGTGTCCCTCCATGTCTCTGTCCCCCCGTGACCGTGTCCCCTCTGTCCCCAGCGTGTCCCAGCCCCTCCTGATGTGTCCCTTTCCCCCTGTGACCGTGTCCCCTGTGTCCCCAGCGTGTCCCAACCCTGTCCCCCTGTAACCATGACCATGTCCCTGCTGTCCCCAGCGTGTCCCTTTCCCCCTGTGACCGTGTCCCCTGTGTCCCCAGCGTGTCCCATCCCCGTGTGACCGTGTCCCCTGTGTCCCCAGCGTGTCCCAACCCTGTCCCCCTGTAACCATGACCATGTCCCTGCTGTCCCCAGTGTGTCCCTTTCCCCCTGTGACCGTGTCCCCTGTGTCCCCAGCGTGTCCCTTTCCCCCATGACCGTGTCCCCTGTGTCCCCAGCGTGTCCCAGCCCCTGGAGCGCCACCCCGAGCGCCGTCTCCGCGCCGCCTTCGCCGCCTTCGAGGAGCTGCAGCTGCCGCGGCTGCGGCGGGACAACCCCAACATGCGGCTGAGCCAGCTGCGCCAGCTGCTCAAGAAGGAGTGGATGAGGTCCCCCGAGAACCCCCTGAACCAGCGGCACAAACCCTACAACAGCCACCCCTAGCCGGACTGGGGTCCCCGCCAGGACCGTCCCCCCGCGGCGCTTTTGGGGTTTTTTGTGTCTCTGTCTCCCCGCCGTGGGTTTGGGGTGAGCTGCAGGTCGGACTGATGGCGCCTTCTCCTTCCTGGAATCGCCTGGGGAGAGCGGCTCCCGGAGGTTCCCGGCGTTGCCTCCGTGGGATTCTGGAGTTGGCACGTGGAAAATGCTCCCGGGGTGTGAGCCCGAAGAGATTCCAGACCCTGGGTCTCACCTGAGATCCCTGCTCCTGTTCCTTTGGGATTGGGATGTCCCTGAGATCCCTGCTCCTGTTCGGGATTCTGGAGTTGGCACGTGGAAAATGCTCCCGGGGTGTGAGCCCGAAGAGATTCCAGACCCTGGGTCTCACCTGAGATCCCTGCTCCTGTTCCTTTGGGATTGGGATGTCCCTGAGATCCCTGCTCCCGTTTCTTTGGGATTGGGATGTCCCTGAGATCCCTGCTCCTGTTTCTTTGGGATGTCCCTGAGATCCCTGCTCCTGTTCCTTTGGGATGTCCCTGAGATCCCTGCTCCTGCTCCCGTTTCTTTGGGATTGGGATGTCCCTGAGATCCCTGCTCCCGTTTCTTTGGGATTGGGATGTCCCTGAGATCCCTGCTCCCGTTTCTTTGGGATTGGGATGTCCCTGAGATCCCTGCTCCCGTTCCTTTGGGATTGGGATGTCCCTGAGATCCCTGCTCCCGTTTCTTTGGGATTGGGATGTCCCTGAGATCCCTGCTCCCGTTTCTTTGGGATTGGGATGTCCCTGAGATCCCTGCTCCTGTTTCTTTGGGATGTCCCTGAGATCCCTGCTCCCGTTTCTTTGGGATTGGGATGTCCCTGAGATCCCTGCTCCTGTTTCTTTGGGATGTCCCTGAGATCCCTGCTCCTGTTTCTTTGGGATTGGGATATCCCTGAAATCCCTGCTCCTGGGATATCCCTGAAATCCCTGCTCCTGTTTCTTTGGGATATCCCTGAAATCCCTGCTTCCATTTCCTCTGGGACTGGGATATCCCTGAAATCCTGCTCCTGTTTCTTTGGGATTGGGATATCCCTGAAATCCCTACTCCTGTGATACCCCTGAAATCCCTTCTCCCATTTCCTTTGGGATTGAGATATCCCTGCTCCCATTTCCTTTGGGACTGGGGCCGTTTCCTTTGGGATTGGCCCATCCATGAAATCCCTGGTGCCATTTCCTTTGGGATTGGGATGTTCCTGAAATCCCTGCTCCCATTTCCTTTGGGATTGGCCCATCCATGAAATCCCTGCTCCCATTTCCTTTGGAGTTGGGGCTATCCTTGGTCCTGTTTCCTTTGGGATTGCACTGGGAAGAGGGAAAATCCCTCAGGGAGGAGTGGGAAAAGCCTTTCCTGGGGGGGACAGGCACTCCAGGTGACATTCCCACTGTCCCCTGGAATGCTGGAGTCCCAAATCCACCCAGAGGAGGGATTCCCATCCTTTGGGAATGGAATTCCTTCCCAGGAATCGGCCTGGAGGTGCCACCCAATTTCCCAAAATCCCATGGGATTCATCCAGCCTCATCCTTTTCCCTCTTTTTGGGGCTGCTCCCCCCCTGGGCTGGGCCCTGTTCCTGCATCCCAGAATTCCCAAATCCAGCCAGGGAGGAGTGACCCCCCCCTCCACCCCTTTGTGTGAGTTTGGTGTGTTTGAATCCAATTAAAAATTTAAAGAAAAAAAACCCAAAATCCGATTAAATTGGGGAAGGAATAACTTGGGAAGGGTTTGGGGGGATTCTTCCCCTGCCTGGCTCAGTTTTATCCCTGAAAATGTGGAAGATCCCACTGGAATTGGGGGTGGGATTCCTGCTTGGACTGGGGGGGTTTCCCTCCCTTTGGGACCCCCCGGGTTGTTCCTGAGGGGGGGAATCCCCCATTCCTGCTGCTCCTGGAATGAGGAACCCCTGGGAGTTGGGAACCCTTCCTGGGTCCTCCTATTCCCATCTTGGGAATTCCCCTTCCCATTCCCCTCCCCTTCCCAATTCCCTCCCTTTTCCCATCCCTGTTCCCATTCCCCATCCCTATTCTTTCCCGTTCCCATTCCCCGTTCCCATCCCTGTTCCCCTTTCTCATTCCCAATCCTATTCCCATTCCCCATCCCCATTTCCTGTCCCCATTCCCATTCCCAACCCCATTCCCATTCCCGAATCCCATTCTCAATCCCATTCCCATTCCTCTTTCCCATTCCCATTCCCTGTTCCCATCCCCGTTCCCATTCCCGTTCCCCTTTCCCATTCCCAATCCTATTCCCATTCCCGTTCCCTGTTCCCCATTCCCGTTCCCCTTTCCCATTCCCAATCCTATTCCCATTCCCGTTCCCTGTTCCCCATTCCCGTTCCCCTTTCCCATTCCCAATCCTATTCCCATTCCCGTTCCCTGTTCCCCATTCCCGTTCCCCTTTCCCATTCCCAATCCTATTCCCATTCCCGTTCCCTGTTCCCCATTCCCGTTCCCTGTTCCCCATTCCTGTTCCCCTTTCCCATTCCCAACCCTATTCCCAGTCCCATTCCCGGTGTCCCCTCTCCCCCCAGATCAGCCCCATGGGATCAGGGGGAATTGAGGGGGCTCTAAAGCATTTCCGGGGTCCCCCCCTGCTTTGGGGGATTTGGGGGAGCCCCTCCATGCCGGGGGGTCCCCATTAAAGGGGGGAATCCCCCCGCGGGGGGAGGGGCGGGATTAGTGGGGGATCCCCCATTTCCCACGGGATTTGGGGGAATCCCGCAGTGCGGGGGGGGGGTCCCGGGGTCCCCCGCACTCGGGGATCCCCCCCGCAGGGGGGGGGTCAGCCCCATGGGATCAGGGGGAATTGAGGGGGCTCTAAAGCATTTCCGGGGTCCCCCCCTGCTTTGGGGGATTTGGGGGAGCCCCTCCATGCCGGGGGGTCCCCATTAAAGGGGGGAATCCCCCCGCGGGGGGAGGGGCGGGATTAGTGGGGGATCCCCCATTTCCCACGGGATTTGGGGGAATCCCGCAGTGCGGGGGGGGGGTCCCGGTGTCCCCCGCACTCGGGGATCCCCGCCGCAGTGGGGGAGGGGGCGGAGAGGGAGGGGATTCCCCGCCCCTCCCCCCTCGGCCACTCCCCTCCCCCTTTTTCCATCACTGGGGGTGGGGGGAGACGGGACATTGCCATGGCAACGAGCGGGGGGGGAGATGCGGGGGCGGCGGTCACGCGGGATCGGCTGGCACCGGGAACCCCCCCTGCCCCCAAATCGGGCATCATCCCCCCCAAATCGGGAATCCCCCCAAAACCGGGCATACCCCCCAAACCGCCCCCCCCGCGTGTGTGACACGCCCCACCCGGGGGTCACCCCGCGCCCCCTGCCCACCGCCAGCACCCCCGGGGGTGACACCGACACCTTATGGGGGGAAAAAGCCCCACCCGGGGGCTGCCCCGGGGTTCCCGGGGAGGTCCCAGGGGGTCCCTGGGGGGGTCCCAGGGGGTCACCGGGGGGGTCCCCATGGGGAGGGTTGGGGGGAGCCGCGGGTGGGCGATCGCCCCCGGCCCCGCGGCTGCGGCGACGCGCGGGGAGGGAACCCCGTCAGGCGGCTGGGTTTATCCGCAGCGGGGCCCGGAGGCTCCGGGAAGTACCGGGAGGCCCCGGGAAGCCCCGGGAAGCACCGGGAGGCCCCCGGGAAGCCCCGGGAGGCGGCGGGGCGGGTGCGCGCGGCTGCGCGTGTGGAGCGGCATCTCAACGGCGCCGCATCGCCGCCCGCAGCCCCCGCGGCCGCCGCCTGCGCGCTGGGGAAACCGAGGCACGGCGCGGCCGGGAGGGGCTCGGCGGCACCGCGGAGCCGCTGTTCAGGCTCGCCCCCGGCCCCCGGTTGTGCCACCGGAACCCGCCGGGATCCCGGGCTCGGCGCCGCACGTGTCGCCGCCGCCGGGCCATGGTCAGCGGCGGCAGCGCCCGAGGGCAGCGGAGGCCGGGGGCTGGCGGCAGGTGGGTGAATTTGGGGGGGGGTCCGCGAGGGTGGAGACCCCCCCCCTCGGCTCCAGGGGCGCTGCCGGTGCTGGGGAAGCCCGTGGCTGGCGGGAATCCCGGGAATCCCCCGGCTCGGGAGGATCCCCCCGCCCGCGGGAAGCCCCCGGCGCAGGGCGGGGGGGTGCCCGGGGGGGTGGGCAAGGGGAGGGGGCACCGGGGGGGGGCGTGGGGAGCCCGGACCCCCCCGCTGCACCCCCCGGGACCCCCCAGCCCAGCCCCACGCACCCGCTGGGCCCCACACAGGTACGGTGTCCCCGGCGGCGTGTCCCCCTCCCGAGGCGGGCGGGATGGGGATGGGGTCCCCCCTCGGGTTGGGGGTGTCGCGGGGATCACGGCTGTCCCTGCCACCCCTGGGGGCATGGGGGCTGTGGCCGTGTCCCCGGGTGCGGCGGCAGTCCCGGGTGTTCCGGCGGGGCTCTGCGGAGGGATTTTCTCGGGGAGACCCCGGCACCAGGCGGGGATTCCCCGGCGTCGCGGCGGGGCCGGGGATCTTCGGGTGTCCCCGCGTGTCCCCGCGGGTGTGCCACCTCCCTGCGCTCTGGGGGACACACGGACACCCCACGGATGGCACCGGGCTCGATCCTGCGTGGGGGAAACCCCCCCCCAGCGCCCCTGGGGCGCTGCCCCTCTGCCCCCACCCCGCCGTGCCAGGGGGGCGACACTTGGGGACCGGGGGGTCTCGGGCGTTGTCACCCCCGGGGGTCCCCCGGTGGCACGGCTGGGCTGAGCCATCCCGCTGCTTTTTTTGGGGAGCGGCGTGGCCTCGTCCCGCCGGTTCCGTGCCCCCCCGAAGCTCAGCGAGCCCCCCTGCCCTGCCCTCGGGGGGCAGCGGCGGTGCCGCCCCCGGCCCGCCCCTCGCCGCGGGTGGGCAGCGGGGGCCGGGGGCTCCCGCGGGCACCGCCAGCTGCTCCCGGCCTGGGACATATGGCCGGGGCTTGGCGGCGGCCGCAGGAACCGGGGCCACGCGGCGGATTTTGGGGGGGGTGCAGCCGGGGGTCTGACGCACTTGGTGCCCCCGGGCCGCGGCAGCGACTGGCGGCGAGCCCCGGTGACCCCGGGCCGGGTCACCCCCGCTGTCCCCGCGGTGTCACCAGCCCGGCTGCCCCCGCAGGGCTGCCCCACCCGCAGCGGTGCCCGGGCAGGAATTAGCGAGGGGGGATAAATAAATTAATCAGCCGCTATTTCTGGCCGCGCCCCCCCCTCTCCTCTGCAGTTGCTCCGAGGCAGCGCCGCTGCTCCGGGCACGGCGGGAGCGCGGTGTCCCCTTGTCACCGATGCCACCCCGCTGTCATCCCCGGGGCGCTGGGGGTGGCTGCAGCCCGGCCATGGGTGTCCCCACGCGTGTCCCTGCCGCGGGAGGTGCTGTCGCGGCCGGTGTCACCCTCAGGACCCCTTTGCTGTCCCCACCCGAGGGTCCTGCCCCAGCCTGGTGGCATCTGCCGCTCCCCCTTGTCCATTGTCCCCGTGTGTGGGGGGTGGCAGAGCCACCCGCGGGTGTCCTGCGGACGTGTCACATCCCGGAGCAGGGACGTTGGTGGCTGTGGCTCAAGGACGCACGGTGACCGTGGAGCTGCCGTGTCCCCATCCCCATCCACGCCTTGGGGACAATGGGGACAGGCAGGACCACCCTGTGCACCCCACCCGGGCATGCGGCCACCAGGCAGGGAGTCCCCTTGGGGACAGGGACAGGAACAGGGACAGGGGAGAGGGAATAGGGAATAGGGACAGATGGCTCAAGGACGCACGGTGACCGTGGAGCTGCCGTGTCCCCATCCCCATCCACGCCTTGGGGACAATGGGGACAGGCAGGACCACCCTGTGCACCCCACCCGGGCATGTGGCCACCAGGCAGGGAGTCCCCTTGGGGACAGGGACAGGGGACAGGAACAGGGACAGGGGAGAGGGAATAGGGAACAGGGACAGAGGACAGGGGACAGGGACAGGGGATAGGGGACAGGGACAGGGGGTAGGGGACAGAGGACAGGGGACAGGGACAGTGGACAGGGACAGGGGACAGAGGCAGGGGATAAGGACAGGGGATAGGGATAGGGACAGGGGACAGGAACAGGAATAAGGAATAGGGGATAGGGACAGGGACAGAGGACAGGGACAGGGACCGGAGGCCTCCCCGGGATGCAGGATCCATCCCTGGGGATGCTCGGGCAGGGGGAAGATGGATCCGGGCCCTCCTGCCGCCATCCAGAGGAGTGAAGCCACCACGGAGCGGTGCCTGATGAAATATTTAGTGTCCCCAGCCCGCGGTGGCCTCACCCACCCCCATCTGAGGTGACAAAAACTTTTCCTGGCTGTGGGGCCTGGCACAGCCTCAGGGGAGGGCGCTGAAGGGGGTGGGGGGAACATTTCCCCTCCCTCCCTGCCCGCTGCGGTTTTTCGAATACGAAAAAGAAACGGGAGCCCATTTTCCTGCCATAAATTTGGCAGAATGGAGAGAAAACGATCCGGCCCTGGAGGGGAGCCAGGCCCGGCCGCGCACCGGGAGCAGCGGGCTCCCGGGGCACCGGGAATGGGGACAGCGGGGACTGTCCCCTGCTGGTGGGGACAGCTCCCGGAGCCCGGGAGGCGCTGCAGGGATGGGGGAGCGCCCGGGGGGGGCTCGTGTGGGGTTTGGGGTCTGGGGGGTTGCGGGGTGTTGTGTAAGGGGGGTTTTGTGGGGCGGGAATGGGGGGGAGCAGTCGGGCCGCTCGTGCTGTGGGGTTTTGGTGTCACACAGCCCCCGTGCTGTGGGGTTTTGGTGTCACACAGCCCCTCGTGCTGTGGGGTTTTGGTGTGACACAGCCCCTCGTGCTGTGGGGTTTTAGTGTCACACAGCCCCCTGTGCTGTGGGGTTTTGGTGTCACACAGCCCTCGTGCTGTGGGGTTTTGGTGTCACACACCCCCCGTGCTGTGGGGTTTTGGTGTCACACAGCCCCCGTGCTATGGGGTTTTGGTGTGAAGCAGCCCCTCGTGGAACGGGGTCGTTGGTGCAATAGGGCCCCTCGTACAATGGGGTTTTTACGTGACACAACCCCTCATGCAATGGGGTTTTGGTGTGACAGAGCCCCCCGCGCTGTGGGGTTTTTTGTATGGTGCAGCCCCTTGTGGAACGGGGTTTTAGTGTCACGCAGGCCCTCGTGCAATGGGTTTTTATGTGATGTAACCCCTCGTGCTGTGGGGTTTTGGTGTGACAGAGCCCCCCGTGCTGTGGGATTTTAGTGTGACGCAGCCCCCTGTGCAGTGGGGTTTTCTGTACAGCGCAGTCCCTGGTGCAATGGGGTTTTAATTTCACACAACCCCCGTGCTATGGGGTTTTTTTTAGGGCTCAGCCCCTCATGTTATGGGGTTTTTTGTATGGTGCAGCCCCCATGCTGTGGGGTTTTGGTGTCACACAGCCCCCGTGCTATGGGGTTTTGGTGTGATGTAACCCCTCGTGCAATGGGGTTTTTATGGAATGTAACCCCTCGTGAAATGGGGTTTTTATGGGATGTAATCCCCCGTGCAGTGGGGGGATTATTGCACATTTCTTGGTGCAATAAGAGGCCCACTCCATGCAATGGGGTTTTTGTGTGACGTAAGCCCTCGTGCAGCGGGGTTTTTCTTGTGGTGCAGCTCCTCGTGCAATGGGGTTTTTGTGTGACAGAACCCCCTGTGCAAATGGGGTTTTTATGGGATGTAATTCCCCGTGCAGTGGGGTTTTTGTGTGACATAATCCCCTGTGCAATGGGGTTCTTGGTGCAATAGGGCTCTGCATGCAATGGGGTCATCGGTGTGGTGCCCTTCTTGAACAGGGGCACTGCTGTGCCATCCCCTCATACAAACAATGGGGTTTTTATGGGATGTAATCCCCCGTGCAGTGGGGGGATTATTGCACATTTCTTGGTGCAATAAGAGGCCCACTCCATGCAATGGGGTTTTTGTGTGACGTAAGCCCTCGTGCAGCGGGGTTTTTCTTGTGGTGCAGCTCCTCGTGCAATGGGGTTTTTGTGTGACAGAACCCCCTGTGCAAATGGGCATGGGGACACTGCTGTGCCATCCCTTTGTATGATGGGGACACTGCTGTGCCATCCCCTCCCTGCTGTGCCATCCCGTTGTGCCATGGGGACACTGCTGTGCCATCCCTTCGTGCCAAGGGGACACTGCTGTGCCATCCCCTCATACAAAGGGACACTGCAGTGCCATCCCCTCATGCCATGGGGACACTGCTGTGACAGTCCCTCACTGCTGTGCCATCCCCTCGTGCCCGGCGCTCGCTGCTGCAGGGGACAGGGTGACCCCCGGGGGGTGGCACTGCCAGGGCAGGGCCCTCCCGGGCTGTGCCAGCTCTGGGGGTCCCCGCCGTGTCACCGCGGGGGTTTGGGGACCCCCTGACGCCGCGTGTCCCCCGGCCAGGCGTGGAGGGAAGCCCATGGCCCCCGGACCCCCGGACCCCCCCCGCTCCCGGCCCCGGCCCCGCAGCCCCTGACGGCCCCGGGACCCCCCCGGGCGGCGCCGGGGAGCCCCAGCAGGTACGGGGGGGCCTTGGGGGGCGTTTTGGGGTGCACTGGGGCTGTTTGGGGGTGTATTTGGAATATTTTTGGGTGCTCTGGGGGCGTTTTGGGGTGCACTGGGGTGTTTTGGGATGCTCTGGGGTGTTTTGGGGTGCACGAGGGTGTTTTGGGGTGTACTGGGGTGTTTTGGGGTGTATTTGGAATATTTTGGGGTGCTCTGGG